AGCCCAATGACCTCATTTTAAAGATAAAGGAAGTTGGGCCCATAAAGACTGAGATTTGCTCAAGGTCCCACCCATATTAGACGTCTGCTGAATGCAAAGGCACTGGGGGAATGGGGAGTGTGGTGACCACACTTAGATAACAGGCAGAATCCTTTTCAAGCAACTTATCACTAGGACTTGCTGGTTTATGCTTCTCAAGCCTAGCTCTGAGGCCACCTTCTACTTCAGTTAAAAAGAGGTACCAGCATAATGAGCTTTCCAATTCCCCTGCAAGTGGTCACCTAGAAACTTCAGTTAACCAGGATCTTTTTTCCTGACTCTCCTTCTGCCCCATCACCTGACCTGACTCTGTCTACTCTTTCCACAACCCCTTACAATTAGTCAAGAAGTCAACAAACATTTGCTATGTGCAGGGCACAGGATGAAGAGCTGGGCATACAAAGAAAGGCAAAAAACAAGCTTCCCCAGATTTGAGATAGGACTGAAGAGGTGATGGGACTTGGACTCCTAAAAGAAAAAGACCACATCTTTGAAAGCAACCCAGTCCTTGAACTTTCCCCATACATATCAGCAGCCCAGATTACTGGCATCTCACCCAATATATCTGGCCCACCTCAGTCCACCTAGGTACTTGATAGACCTAGTCTATCACAGTTGCTCTTGACCCACCTCAAACCACCCAATACTCCTTTCACTTTTGCACCTGGCCCACCCCAGGCTATTTACCACTCTGTAATCCCATCCAGATCCTTTTACTGTTCTTTTTGTATATAAGTATTCAGTCTCACTTCCATTAAGTTGCAGATTCACTAGGAATTTACTCCAGCTATATTACAATAAACCTTGCCACTTTGACTGAAAGACAATCTGAGTGTGTGAATTCTTCCCAGGTAGGTAACACCCTGTACCCTGACATTTTGGGGTTCCCAGCAACCTCAAACCACATCAGGATGATAGCCACACATGAACGAACACACACACACACAAACACACACACACACACACACACACACACACACACACACACACACACGTCTTTTCCCCAAACTCCTTTCCTAGGGACATTTCCTCTGGAGAGAAAGGGACTTTTCTCTGTGCCCCCATTTTACTTCTCCTCCCTCCTAAGAATCAGCACAGCCCATTCCACTCCCCCCATTCCCAGCTCTGTTTCTCTTCCCAAGGCCACAGGGAATGAGCTAAGCAGGGGGAGTAACTCATTCCAATGGGCCTGGGAAAGTGGATGCTAATTAGAGTGGAGAACCAGGAAAAAGTGTGGTCATGCTGTTTATACCCTGGTGCCTGGGCTAGATGTCCGAGCAACCTAAGATTCATGAGGTCCAATGAACTTAACCACAATCCACCTCTGAGCTGCACAGAATCTGAAAGAGCTATATCTCTGTGTTTTCCTCCCCAAGATTTCTCCTGTAGGTGCACTTACATGCTTGAGTCTATTTAAGATGCCTGGTGCCCTTTTCAGGGCCATCAAGCATCTTCCCAGCATGTTCAGGGAATGATCTGCACATTTCTGGGATGAAGAAGAGAACAACTCCAGGAAATACTCAGCACCTGGTGAGTTTGTGGAAGTTGTCCAAACTTGGCTAGGTGTCCTCCTAGCTGGAGGCAAAATGGCCCAGTATCATCCTGAGAGCAAATTGTCAGCAGCTAGTGATGAGTGAGTCAGGCAGCTCCCCTGTGGCCTCCCAACATAGCGACTGGTGGCTGGCTGGTGACCTCAGGAGGATTTACTTCCCGGCCTGCTGCCAGCATTAATTCTAATATGGAAGAATGCATGGAGTCCACAGATGGCAGCTGGAAAATCAGTCTCCCCTTGAGTTTTGGCTGTGGCTGTTCTGAGGCAATTGTTCCTCCTGACAGTGTGCTCTCCAAAGGACAGAGTTCTTGCTTAGGAGAGGATGAGACAGAGTGGGTGGTGACAATAAAACCACTTAACATCTCCCTCTCCCTCATTAACCAGTGTTCACTACGTTGGTTCCTGAGGAAGGATTCCCCTAAAAATAAGCAGTGATGGGATGTTGGATGGCTCTGGGCTTCACTACTGACTTCCCTCTAGAGTTCTCTCCAGGCTCACAACTTGGGCCATGACCCTTACCCTCAGGGTAGCTCCTTCTGCTGCTCCCCAGGAGCCATCATTATTCAGGGTAGAATCAATCAGCAAGAATTCATTAAGCTTCATTATGTGTTAGTCACCCTACTAAGCACTAAGGATAAAAAAAGGAAAAGAAAAACTAGCCTCTGCCCCCAAGAAGCTTATACTCTAATGGGGAGATATCAGGTACCTAAAGAGGCCAAGCAGCTGTCCATGCAGCCAGGTAGAATGTTCTTCATGATAAATGACTTTTCTCAGTTGTTGATTCTCTCATGAGAAGCATTATAGGACTCCAAATGGCTTCTCTTTATAAAGCATCACCTCTTACAGTGAAGTACTAGCTTGTATGTTTAGAAAATGGGATGTCTTAGTTAATAGGATCCTTAAAAAAAAGTTCTGATCATTAGAATTCAATAAAGTATAATTATACTTTGAGGCATCCATGATGTCATTGCTGTGGGGACATTCTTTGCCATGTAGATCACAACACTCCCATGCTGTCCCATCCAATGGGATTCTTGTGCAGGTATGCCATGGAGTCTCCAGAGAGGATATGCCCAGCATGTGCCTACCCTGGAATTCTCATTGCTTCTTTTAGGGCTTTGTTCAATTCAATTCTAAGGGTCTCATTTTAGGAAAGATATTGACAGTGGTAGAGCATCTCAAAGAGATCAACCACATCAGGAAAGGGCCTTTGGATCATGCCAGCTAGGAATTCACTGGAGGAAAGAAGACAGTTTAACCTCAAGAAGAGAAAATTGAAATGAAAACTGTAGTTGTCCTCAAGTATTTGAAGGGCTGTGGGTGTTAGAGGGGCAGCTAGGTGGTACAGCGGAGAAAGTGCTAGGCCTGGAGGCAGCCAGACTCATCTCCCTGAGTTCAAATTCAGCCTCAGACACTTCCTAGTTGTGTGGCCCTGGGCAAGTCACTTCACCCTATTTGCCTCAGTTTCCTCATCTGTAAAAATGAGGTGGAAAAGGACATGGCAAACCAGCCGAGCATCTTTGCTCAGTAAACCCCAAGTGGGTCCTGCAGAGTTGGGAATGACTGAGACTACTGAGCAACAGCAACAACCAGCAGGTGTTAGAGGAATCTCTCAGGCCAAGAAAGCTGAGCCAGCAGCAAAGGGCAGACTCTGCTTAAGCCTCGGGTTGGATGGAAAGAAAGACTGCCCAACAACTGGAGCTGCCTTGGGAGGCAATGGCTCCCTGCCTCCCAGGAGGGAAACCAAGGCTGGATGGCCATGTGCTGAGGGTGGAGGCGCTTCATGCTTGGCTATGGGTTGGGTGAGGCAGATGGGCTCAGAGACTCATTGATTTAACGGTACAGTGTGTGTCCCTACCGAAGAATGAAACAATCTCTCCTCAGAGGGGATACATTTCTCCTACATTCTCCTCAGGGGAGAAATAAATCTATAGGTTTGTGTGTAGATGTAAATGTTTTAAACAGAAATAGTAAAGAGATAACAAATCCAAGGTCATCAGAGGGCATGGGCACTAACCCTGGAGGAGCTCTGGACAAGGGATCAGGACATGGGGCATGAGAAGTCCCTACAGCTGTTCTCTGGACACTCACCAGATCACCAATGGCCATTTTCCACCAAGGTGTGAGGAAGTGACATCAATTTTTTTTAGCTTCAGATGCCAATAAATTAACTAAAATCGGAAGCTACCAGGTTGGGCACATTGTTAATAATGCCCATCTGCAAGCCACCCTTATAACTAGCTGCTCTTCTTGCTCAACTGAATTTGTTGTCAGGCAATTAACAGCCATTTATTAAAGGCTTACTAGGTACCAGGCATTGTGCCCAGGGCTAGGCATACAGACACCGAACTGAAGTATTCCCTGGAAACAACATGAACATATATTTGTCCTAGCACATATACAATATGTAATTAATAATATAAATATAAATAAATATATAAATAATAGTATAAATAATAGAAAGTAGAATCAAAGCCCTTTGGGAACAGAAGGCACCAGTAGCTGGAAGTTTCTGAAAAGCCTTCCTGTAGGTGGTGGCCCAGAAGTCCTGAAGAAAAATAAGAATTCCACAATATGGCGGTGAGGAGGGATTACATTCTAGGAATACAAACGATGGAGACAGAAGGAGCAAGCTGGAGTGTGCAAGCAAGTCAGCCAGTAGGGCTGGATAATGAAATATGAAGAGGAAACTGCCATGGAAGGAGACTGGAGATATAGAAAGGGGCATGATCAGGAAGACCTTTCTTTCACTGGCAAACAGAGGAAGCCACTGTAGTTTTAATCACTTGCTATGCTGTTTGAGAACTGATTTGGGGGCATATTCTATTCTTTCCCTGGATATCAAAATTGCTAGTTAACCTTTACCATCAGCCCTGGACCTCCTTGCCTCATCCTACATTAACTTATCAGAGATGAGCATTATAGTACAGAGGAAAGAGTTGGAGGATTGGGCTTCTGATATCATGGCTGGTACTTGTGTAACTGTCAGCCAGTCACTTAATTCTCCGCTTACCTGTAAAATGAGGGCCTATGTGGCCCCCAGGGTGCAGACCAGCTCAAGGACTCTCATTTTATGGAATTCCCTGATTATATTTTTATGTAAATTGTGACTCTTTCTGGTCTCAAAGACAGAAATAAGCAAGCTGCTAAAACCAGTCATTTTCCAAAATGAGAACTGTCCTTACAGTCAACAATGTAAGGAGTCTGTTCTCATTCTTTATTGATGGTCCATATTTAATTGTTCGCATTCAAGGAAACAACCTGAAGCCTAGAGGCTTCAAAGGACACTTTTTGTCTGGTTCAAGCATTTAGATTCCTCTATGCAGACAGATCTGTAATGTTAATGGCATAGAGAAATTGTCCTGTAACTTACTCAGAATTACCCAAAGAACAGAGACCAGTGACTTACCCAAGGTCCCAAAACCAGCTCTTCATGGGGCCAGGTCTCTAGCCATGGTGCAGACCAGGCTACCTGGACAAAACAGAAATAAAGTAAAGAGTTTCAGAAACTAAAAGAGGTTTCTGGAAAACCAATAAGGAGCTGTTTTGTCTAGTTTAAATTACTTTCACAAAGTAAAGATCATTTTTCAAAAACTTCTATACTCAGAGGTAATAAGGCATAATTTATTTGGCTCCTGTCAAAAACAGACATTGCTGCCTCTGCAGTTCCAGATGTCTGCTTCATCATGATTTGCTCAAATCCTCCAACAACCCTGTGCATTTTAATGTTTTCATTAACATAATTTCTAAAAGGAATTCCAACCAGCAGCTTTGTAAAATGACTTTTTCTGATGCAAATAAAAGGAGTGGCAAGGCAGAGAGAATAGTCAGATTTCATTTAGCCCATTTAGGGACCCATGAGAATTTGGAAAGGGCCAATTCAGTTTCTCCCCCTTACAGGAGCTCTGTGCTGAAGTCTGGAAATCTCTTCATTGTGTTTCTTTTCTGGTCAAACAGGCCCAATAAACTGTAGCTTTAGGAACAAAAAGTATGTTTTTCAAAGAAATGAAGCGAAGACATTGAGCAGTTCTGCCAGTTTTCCTGCTACTTTTATATGAGATAGATATAATATGACACTCTGATGAAAAGGGATCTGGTCTTTGGGAGAACAAATTGGAAGTTCTATTGTTAGGCAGTCACTTGGCCTCTGCCTGTCTAATTTTTTTATACACATTTTCAGGTGATCATTCTTAAGTTAAAAATGTGACTTTCTGATACTAAAGGCATTGAATAGATAATTACCTTGTTGGAGGAGTTGAGAATATGAAAGAGTAAGGCAAGACTGTATTTAATTGGGTGGTTCCAGAGCCAGCATGGTGAATCAAGTCAACAAGCATTTATTAAGTGCCTACTGTGGGCCAGGCACTCTGCTAAGCTCTGGAGCTACAAAGAAAGGCAAAAACCAAAATCACCCAGTCCCTACTGTCAAGAAGTTAATAATTTAAGGGAGGAAGACAATATGCAAATAATACATGTACAGACAAGATACATGCAAGTGTACGAATAGGCAGACAGACAGGACAAATCAGAGATAATCTAAGAGGGAAAGTGCATGCAACAGCTATCTATCTCCCCCTACTTATCCAAGATTGCACGTGGGTATGGGAAGACATGAATTTAGAATAATAATAATACCTAACATTTATACAACACCTACTCTGTGCCAAGCAACCAGCTAAGCACTTCACAAATATTATCTCACATCAACCCTGGAAGATATGTGCCATTATTATCCTCATTTTACAGTTGAGGAAACTGAGGCAGACAAAGTGACCTGACTACATCACACAGCTGTAACTATCTGACTCCAGGCCTGGTATTCTGTGCTACCAGTTATCTCCATGAGATAGATTTTTGTATATAGCTATTGAGGAAATACATTTTCTTTGACTCTGCATATTTGCTAAGTTAAATTTGTTTTTCTTTACCAATGGAGCCAAGAGGATAGAAGGTGGAAAAAAAGAAATTGTTGCTGTTGTTGTTGTTGTTTTAAAGAAAGGGGTCCTACACATATGAAATGCTGGTGCGTTTCATTGTATTATTAGTTATACTGCACTGTTGGATTTTGTTATGAAACCTCTGAGGAAGTGAGAGTAATCTGGAAATGTTTGTAATGTAAAAAACAAACACATCAACAAAACTTTAAACAACAAAAGAAAGAAAAGGCTTGGAATAAGGAGATGCCAAGTCTTGTGTGAGGAATAGTATGAAGATGGATGCCCTGGATTCTAGAGTACGTGGAAAGGAGTCTAAAAAAGCAGGCAGGGCCCAGATTGTAAGAAAGAAGATTTTATGGTGTTTATTGAGTTTACTGAATTGGGGAGTAAAGAGAAGGTGGCAAAGTCATGCCAGTGCTTTCAAGAGAAAGTCACCTTGGCAGCTGAGTGGAGGATGGACTGGAGTGAGCAAGAGGCCATGCCTGAGGTGACACACCAGAGGAGGGGCTATAGGAATAGAGAGAAAGAGATGTATATGAGATGGACTGAAGGAAACATTAAGACTCAGCCCCAGATTAGATGCATATGGTAAGTACAAGTGAGGAGTAGAGGAAGATTCTAAGATTGCAAGCCTGAATGACTGCCAAGGTGGAAGGGCCCTTGACAATATTAGGGAAGTAGGGAGAAGAGAGAGGGGTGGGGTGGGGGGAGGGGGAGATAAGGAGTTCTGATTTGGACTAGTTGAGTTTGAGATATCCATGGGACATCCAGCTCGAGATGTCCAAGATGCAGCTGGTGGTGTCAGAGAACTCAGTGAGGGCTGGATAAATAGATGTGAATCATTTGCAGAGAATCCACAAGAGTTGATAAGATTGCCAAGTGAGATAGACAGGTTAGGGCCAGGGTATTAAGGTCTCTAAAAGCTATGGAGGCATTTACTTCCTAGAGGCAAAGAGGAGTCTGGAGATGACTGAGGGGAGATCTGGCCAGATCTAGACTTTTGCAAAATCAGGGGATTCTGTGGCTATCCAGTATAACCAGTGATTCCCAAAGAACCCCACTCCAGCATATGTAACAAGTGGTCACCCAGCCTCTGCTTAAAGACCTCCAAGATAACCTCCTGGGGCATCTTGTGCCACCTGTGAACTGCCCAGATCATGAGAAGTCTTTCTTGCCATCCAACCTAAATCAGCCTCTCAGCAGCTTCCATCCTTTACTTTTCTTCTTCTCTCTGGTGCCAAGTAGAATCACTCTAGCCCCTCTCCTGCACTACAGGCTTATACATACTTGGGGACAGGTTCCCCCCTGAGGCTTCTCTTCTTTAGGCTAAACATCCTCAGTTCCTTCCAGGCATCTTCACATGACATGGATTCAGAGTAACCCTTCTGGTTGCCCTCCTCTCTCTGCTTTCCATTTTATCATTATCCTTCCAACACTTGCCCAGGGAAACATATCTAGTAAGTGTCTGAGGTTGGATTTAAGGTCAAGTCTTTCCGACTCCAGCTCCAGTGCTCTACCCACTAGGCCACCTAGCCATCTGTCTAAGTCACTGACATAAAGGCACAGGACCAATATTACCTTGACTGAGAGTCACAATCCTGAGCTCCTTGTCTCAGTGACCTGTAATGCTCCACAATGAGAAAGTAAGCTTTGGACATCTAGAAAGTAAGCAGAGTCATTTGAATCCCTTATGGGTCCCTAAGCTAGAAGTCAAATGTCTAAGGGACAAGTGAATTTAGCCTCCCTCTGGAAATGTCCATAGGAATTTTGGGGAGGTATGAGGCCAACTAAGTTCTGATCAACTTTCAAGAACCAGCAGACTGAGGGATAAACTAGTAGCATCTCTAATAATATCGAGAGTGAAACAAGAAGGTCCATTATCACCAGTGTTATTCAATATTGTGCTAGAAATGTTAGCTGTAGCAATTAGAGAAGAAAAAGAAATTGAAGGAATTAGAATAGGCAAAGAAGAAACAAAGCTATCACTCTTTGCATATGATACGATGGTATGTTTAGAGAATTCTAGAGAATCAAGTAAAAAATTACTTGAAATAATAAACAAGTTTAGCAAAGTTGCAGTATATAAAATAAACCCACACAAATCATTGGCATTTCTATATATTACTAACAAAGCTCAGCAGCAAGAGATAGAAGAGAAATTCCATTTAAAATTACAGTAGACACTATAAAATATTTGGGAGTCTACCTGCCAAAACAAAACCAAGAACTATATGAACACAATTACAAAACACTTTTCACACAAATAAAGTCAGGTTTAAATAATTGGAAAAATATCCATTGCTCATGGGTAGGCTCAACTAATATAATAAAAATGACAATTCTACCTAAATTAATTTACTCATTCAGTGCCATATCAATCAAACTACCAAAAAAAATATTTCATAGGGCTAGAAAAAAACAATAACAAAATTCATCTGGAAGAACAAAAACTCCAGAATATCAAGGGAACTAATGAAAGGAAATGCAAGGGAAGGTGCCCTAGCTGTACCAAATCTTAAATTGTATTATAAAGCAGCAATCATCAAAACTACTTGGTACTAGCTAAGAAATAGAGTGGTGGATCACTGGAATAGGTTATACATGCAAGAGGCAATAGTCAATGACTATACTAACCTACTATTATTTGAAAAATCCAAAGACTCCAGCTTCTGGGTTAAGAAATCACTATTTAGCAAAAACTGCTGGGAAAACCGGAAAGACGCATGGCAGCAATTGGGCATAGACCAACATCTTACACCCTATACCAACATAAAATCAAAATGGGTACATGATTTAGATATGAAGACTGATACTATAAGCAAACTAGAAGAGTGAGGACTAGTTTACCTTACTATGGAGAAGGGAGGAACTTATGACCAAACAAGAAATAGATAACATTATGAAATGCAAAATTGAAAAGTTTTTGCACAAACAAAGCCAATGAATCCAAGATTAGGCAGGAAGCAGAAAACTTGGAAATAATTTTTACAACCAGTGTCTCTGATAAAGGCCTCATTTCTAAAATATATAGAGAACTAAGTCAAATTTATAAGAATACAAGTCATTCCCCAACTGATAAATGGTCAGGCAGTTTTCAGAGGAAGAAACTAACGCTATCTATAGTCCTAAGAAAAAATGCTCTAAATCACTATAGATTAGAGAAATGCAAATCAAAACAACTCTGAGGTACCACATCACACCTATCAGATTGGCTAACATGACAAAACAGGACAATGATAAGTGTTGGAGAAGATGTGGGAAAATTAGAACACTAATGCATTGTGGAGAGCAATTTGGAACTATGCCCAAAGGACTATAAAATTGTGCATACCCTTTGATCCAGAAATACCACTTCTAAGTCTGCATCCCAAAGAGATCATAAAAACAGGAAAAGGACCCACATGTACAAAAACATTTATAGCAGCTCTTTTCATGGTAGAAAAGAATTGGAAATTGTGGGGATATCCATCAATTGGGAAATGGCTGAACAAGTTGTTGTATATGAATGTAAGGGAATGCTATTGTGCTGTAAGAA